TAGAGCTATGCCAGCGGGAGATTCTTTTCCTGGTAGGGCCACCCAAGCTGGACAGGTCGAAGGGTAGAGACCAGACAAAAAGTGATCCCTAGCCCTCCAGGTTGGGGTTGGGTTCAGGGTTAACAACCCTGTCCTGTAAAAAAGATCCTGTTTCGGAAACAGCAGCACAAGAAACTTCCACAACCAGGTAGGATGGGCTCCCATGTGTATCAACAGATATCAGGATGATTGGCAGTGGGAAAAACTGCAAGGAAGCCACTGACAGGATGGTGGAGGTTCTTCCTGCCAAGCTCAGGGCTAGAATAGGGTTTTGGAACATTAGGACAATTTAAGTGGTGATGTCCCAAGAATACCTGGCATCGCACTGTGGAGAGTGAGCTGAAGAACCTCAACCTTTCTTGGCACTCAATCCAGAGACTGGCTCAAGACAGACAGGAGTGGGGAGATTTTTTTGCTGCCCTACATGCCAGGCGGCATAATAGGCAAGATACATAGAAATCCTTCGAGGCCTTGTATTTCCAGCAAATACGGATTAAAGTGCAGGTTTGATGAAGTGAATCGTTCCTGATTTGCACTGCTATCGTCCACCTAGTGCTTCCACGAAATTTATCAAAGTATTTTACATGTGTGAAAAACGTAACTGCAGTGAGGGCAAGTCTGGGTAATTAGTTACTGACTCTGCAGCTCAATTGAGACTGAGACTCAGTTTGCTGGATCTAATGAAGTATTTGCTTATAATAATGTAACAGAGAGTGAAGTTTATTCTTTCGTTAGAGGCCTATCTTTCAACAAAGATCCTGGGTGCGACAAGGTATCTACCCGAATCATGAAGGACAGCTACACAATAACAGTCTCAGTAATGACAGGGAAAATAAATGATTCTTTCCAGCAAAGTATCTTTCCTGACGGATCAAAATTGGCTGAACCTGTTCCGATACATGAAGAAGGAGACCCAGAGATACTAGCTAACTAAAGACCAATCTCCCTGCTGCCTATATGTCTTGTTTAAGGTAATCGAGACTTCACAGAGACAATTTTCTGACTCTTTAAGAAGAAATGACAAATTGTCAATCCATCAAAGTAGCAATAAGAAACACAACTCGACAAAAACTGCCTTCCTTTTATGTCACTGATAAACGTCTGAAAGCAATTGACGAAAAAACTGTGTTTCTGTCAGTATAACCGGATATGCCGAAAGCGTTTGATAGCTTGAACCACAATTGTCTCTTGAATAGATTGCGTAAATGTGGTCTGGTGCAGTCTGCAGTTTCCTGGTTTTCTAACTGTCTTTCAATTTAGAAAGCAAAGGATTTGCTACAAAGATTCTCTCAGAATTACTCTCTATAGAACGTGGAATAACCCAGGGTTAAACTCTGGCCCAATTTTATTTACTATCTATTTTAATGATCTCATTAATGACTTACTGATAGTAGACCAAAAATGTACGTTGATGATT